AGCTCCTGTATCGTCACACCTACCCCCCTGCAGGGCCCAGCCCAGGGTTCAGAGGCTGGGAGGTTGGGCAATGAAGCGGGAGGGGTCCGGGCTGGCTCAGCTGCCTGTTTGCACGCAGCCGTCCGTGTCCTAGTGCCTCGGCGCCCGAGCCATTGGCAAGAGGCCATTTCTGTTGGGGAATGAACGGTTCTTTCCAGGGCAGGTTCGTGCCAGGCTCACGCTCGCTGCCGAGAGCTAGGTGAGGGGAGGAGCAGCCGAGTGTGACGCTGGACATGCCGCTGAAGGCACCTTCCTCCACGTGGGTGAGGAAGCCTGCAACGAGCTGGAGGCAGCCTTCTCCCAGAGCTAGATGCCTCCACAACAGCACTAAGCGTATGTGGCTCCCGGTGTGCTAGGTGCTGTACATTCATGCAGCTAGGGAGACTAGAGGATCGAATGATCTCTTCCGGGCTTAGAGCCTGCCCTAATGTGAAGGGAGATGTGTAGGGTGGGAGAAAGTGCACCGGAGCAGGGGCTCTCTCTCTCTCTGGGTACATACAACAGGGCTCCTGGAGGCTTAACTGTAGTAGAAATACCCACAACATATCCTGCATGGTGCCCTGGGGCCTCAGCTCTCCTGCCGACACACTAGACTGATGGATGGCTGCTTCACTTAAACACCTGGGAGAGAAAGTCTCTGCTGCAGGCTGGTCCTCCCTGCCCTGTCCACTAAGGGCTGGGGAAATGCCACAATCGACACCCCCACCAGCCAGCCCTCGACTCGAGAAGGGCTGCCCGGCCTTTGGTTACCGTGTCGCTGGGTGTCTCTGGCTTTCTTGGCTCCTTCCTGCCCTGGCGTCCCTGCTGCTTGGGGCATCTGGGGCTGGGAACGAGGGAGTCGCTCGCTGCTGGGCCCCCGATGCAGAACTTCTCCGCGTGCTTCTCCAGCAGAGGCCGGGAGCGGAAGCCCATGTCGCAGCTCGGGCAGTGGAAGATCCCCACGTCCATCCCGACTGCGGCAGGAGGTCCCCGACTGCCCAGCTCTCATGTGATGGCTGACCCGCTCCAAATACCTACACCAGGGAAACATCAAGTAATGAAGGACGACCAGCATTTAGATGGTTATTTTGGTCTTCAAATTGACAGTGTAATCCTGCTACCCCAAGAGGCAGCATGCCATTGCCACTAGCTCTCATTATTCCCAATTTGAAACGGGAAAACCGAGGCCCTGAGAGACTTTATGACCTACTTTAGACTACAAAGGGACTTGGCAGCAGGGCTGGGATTCTAGCTTTAGTGAGCCCGAGTCCTGGCCGCGAAAGCTGGACCTCGAGGCTGGAGATGGAGGGCGAGAGGCAGGAAAAGGGAGCCCTAAGGAGACAGAGACACCGGAGGAGACAATGTTACCAGGGACATCCTTTGATTTGGGCAGAGAAGAGAGATTGTCTAGCCATCTGATTCTCCAGCCCAGACCCTGAGGCAGGTAAATGCTTATGGGGCTTTACCATGTAGCTGCTGAACCTGCTGTACAAGTTCTGCAAGGGGGGTTTCTGCTATGACCTTACCCCTCGCCTTTTTTTGTTCTCAGTGTGTCAAGACTTGAAGCAACTAGTGGGCAAACTCCTCCTTGCCCTGACAAGGACTCAGAGCAGCCCAGCAAACTCCCCAAATTCAAGGACTTGGGATCATTATAACACACTGTTCCAGGAGCAAGAGAGAGAGAGAGAGATTTAAGGACTGACCTGTTCGGCAGCACGGCCGGCTCTCGAGCCAGAGACTGTGGAGCTGGGCTTGGAGCTGTAGTTGCTATGTTGGTAATGGGGTGGGGCCTGCTTTGCAGGCAAAGGGACATTGCAGACAAGCCGGGCTGGGTAGCGATGGTAGCATTGCCATGGTGGTGGTTTGTGTGTGCCTGTATTGGGCAGGGCAGGGATTTGTGACGTGGGACAGAAGGGGCAGGTGCAGCGTACAGAGCAACCAAATCTCCGTGGATCTGCTTTTAGGGACTCTTCAGAGGAGCATCACCAAAGGGCTCTGGGCACCAAAGGGAAGGGGTGCAAAGGTGGTGCCCGCACCCTTGTAAATGAAACATGTCCAGAAATGAGACCAAGCAAACATCCCTGCTTGCTGCACAGGACAAGAATGGCCCGTGTGCAGGGCTCTGCCCCTGCGAGGTTTGGGCATAGCAAAAATAGGAGAGAAAGGTTAATAAAAATCTTTGCCAGCTTCAGGGGATGGAGCCCCTTTTTAAACAGACATGCAAAGGAAAGCTTCACAGCCATTTCTCAGCGAAGTCTGCTTCATGGAGTCCACTATTCCCAGAGTATTTTGGTCCATCAGAATTTAAGCAGCACACAGAAAATCCTGTGCCGTGGGGCAGTTTCCAATGACAAGCCTGATCTCCGGTGCCCGCCCCAACAAGTCTCAGTTGGATATCAACTTTGTGCACAAGTGACTTAGTGCAAAAAGCAGCATCCAGAATAAGATCCCCAATGGCCAGCCAGGCTCTGCTCTATCAACTGATGCTGCAAGGGCCCACAGAGGATTGAGAGGCCCGGATGGGATCATAAGGAACATGATGGAAGAGGCCAGTAAGCAGCCTGCCTTGTAGTTTTCTGTGGCAATGGTACAACAGGCCCAAAACATGTACACTGTGCCATAAAGCCCTGTTTAATATTTCAGAATAAACCTGCTCTCAAGCACCTATGAGTTAACAGAGCACTTTAGCAGCAGGGGAATAAACGCTCGTGGAAAAGTTGCACAACGGATGCTCCAAAAGAACATGCACCATTGCGGAAATCAGTTGTTGGCAATCTTACCCCAGAGTAAAACCTTCTTCAACATGGGAGTGACATGGCTTGATTCACCTATGTACTGCTGAGGGCAGAAATGAATCTGACCAGTTCATCTCTCCCCTTACCCACTGATTGCCTCAGTGTGTCTGGCTCTAGCAGCTGCTTATAGTCAAAGGAAGCTATGTAGGTCTTGCCCTCTATCATCTCAGACTCCTAAGAGGTTGTATGAGTGTGTAGGACTGTGGCTAGAAGGAACTACCAGGCCCACAACAGCTGTCCTGGGGTGGACCAAGGCAGGGTGAGGTCACTTCACTTGTTTCTTAGGGATACCCAGTGCATCTCATTTCATTTCATCCCCTTCAAACTGTCTGCCCTTGTGTACTGCTCACATCTCACACAGCATTTGCCTGGCGCCCTACAATAATTAATTTAAGCAAATGTTGCTCATGGAGACACTGGTGAGCTACCCAGCATCCACCCCAAAAGCTGGCATACTGGGTAAGCTGCTAGCCTTGCACCCTGCAGGCTCATCTTTAGTATCTAACTAGCTGCTAAATATGCATGCACCAAACCTGCCATCAGGGCGATGGGAGGGTTAAGCAGCTCACCCTCCTCATTGGCACCTTATTTTACCAGCTACTCAGTTTGAGCATCTCTGCTACACCCTCAACCACCGCCTTAGTCCACCTCCCTTCGTATACTCTAATGATCACCTCTGTAAATGCTCATCAGTTCTGCACAGTGCTTACTCCTGCCCAGATACTCTACAACCCTCTGGTGAACAGTCTGCTCTTATCAGCCATCTCCTCGTTTGCTGTCTACAGGCTGCTGAGGAAGCAGGTTTGCTCAGTTAGTGCATCTGAAGATAACCTCCACAAGTCACCATGCTGTAGTGTGGAGGAAGAAACTGTAAGCTAATGCAAGTAATTCTGGGCACGTGACAGAGGCTGTGAACAGACAAAATTAACTCACCATGTTGGAAAAAAAAATGGACCCCTCAACATTTTATAAAGGTAAAATTTACGTAATTTACATAAATTTGGTTTTAAAGACATTAAATGAAACCAGTGAATGTAGACACTCATTTTGGTTTGAATGGCATATCGATGCTTAGCTTTAGTTCTGCTCTCAGTAGATTTAAATAAGCTCACTTAAACCAAAACAAGGTCCACACTTTTTAACATCATTTATAAAAAAAAAAGGTTGTTTTTTTTTAAAAACCCACACCTTACATTAAACTGGTACAACTTCCATGTAGATGGCCTCATGTCTTGAAGAGCTTTAACACTTAAATCCCGCACAGGGAACTAGTTCATTAAGAGAAGCAATTAACGGATGACTAGAGAACGACAACTAGAGCCACTAGGCTGAAGACTAGTTCCAATGTGACAGGGATAAAGAAACGTTTTCGTCAGCCTTCTTATTTCATATAACCATATTACTGTTGCAATAACAGAGGGACAATAGCAAACCAGGAGGCACAAATCTGAAGGCAGTTTAGGGTACTCAGCAGATAATGCTCCCCAGGTTCCAAACAGCTACCTAAAAGGAATTCATTAATCAGTGCACTGGTAGCTGTCTTAATGGCTCAGGTCTAGACTGATCAGAAATTATGTTACAACAGAGCAATTAGAATTTCATATCCAATATACTGATCATCTTTCCTGATCTGCCACCCACACTTAAAACTTGTAAATGCTGCTGACACTTCCCAAACCAAGGTGCCGGCATACACATTCAACACAGAAACGGCTTAAAACAAAAGCTGTCTGCAAAAATCCTTTTTAACTTAATATAAATGTCCTTGTGAAAAAGGTTTCAATGGAAAAAGCTTTGAATTTACAAATTCCCTTGCCACGTGGCAAAAACGGATAACTGCACTGGAACATGAGAATCCGACAAAGTGGGCAGTCTTACTTGCCTATCTACAGCGTATGAAGTAAGAAATGAAAGCAAATGCTAATACTGAAGCAGCTCTAAGTAGAATTCTTCTCTTTACATTTGTTTTAAAACAGCTATATGGCTAGCTGTCCTCTCCTCGCTGTCTCTTTATAAAGCAGGAATATTTTAACTATTGTAATGTAAGCATGATAGCAAAACGCCATGTTTGTCAAGTGGAAAAACAGGGTCAGGAGAATAAAGTACTTACTTCCAGGTGCTACTAAAGCCCCACAGCTGCAAATCTGTTTCAGGAAATCTTCTCTTACATAAGAAAGACAATTAGAATTGGCAAACTGATGCAAAATATTTATTCCAAGTTAGTTATTTTTTGATGCAGTAGTTTTTCCCCTCATACAGACTCAATGTGATAGTCACTTTTTTAAATCTGTAAATAATGTTATCAAAATAATCTTAATCTTTGAAATCTCACAAAAAATTTATATTTTACAATCCACCCTGAATATCAAGGCTGCAAGAAGAACACAAACAATTCCTATATCCAAATATTTTACAGCTGTACCCAAAAAAAAAGAAAACCACAAACGCCTGGTTAAGTGATGAAGCTCCCCGAGCCGCCAAAAAAATAAAATAAAAAACTCATGTTATTAGCATTAATTTAACACAATTAGAACTTCAATAGCCATTTTGTCATTGACAATGATTGTTTTAGCACATTGTTACCGCGCAACATTATGCAATGCAGGCGGCATTATTAGAAGCTTGTTGTTGCAAAGATCAGTCCCCTGTATCCTGCTTACAAGACTGAACTTGTGCATTGCCCCAGAAGGGATTTCTCTCAAAATCTGCTAGCTGCACAAACTTCTATTAAGCATTAGGGCAAAACCAAAAGAAAAAGCTAAACAAGCCAATTTCTTTTTTTCTTTGGGATAAGATTATTTCCCTTGTGCAAGAAGTATTCAACAACAAAAGAAAAACTGAACAGACTGGAGACAGAATAAACTCTGTTTAGTTTATACAACCCCAAACACATGTTGAACTATGAACTGAGTTTATTGGGTTGGTGTTATTCATTTTTTAAATTTTTTGTGCCCACTTTCAGGCATCATCGTCTGAAGTTTCGCTGCTACTAGTTTCTGTGTCCGAGTCCTCAAACTCTGTCTTAAAAGTGCTTCTCCATTGGGAGAACAGGCTGGAGCTGCGGCCCTGAAGAAATCCATTCTTCCCGAATCCATTTCTTCTTAGCTAGAGGGGAAAAGAGAAAGAAAGTTTAAGCCAGGATGAAGCGTGAAGAATAAGCAGTCAGTGACAATATCCATTCTAGTTGTACATGTGTATTTTTTTCCACCATGGATGATTCATGATCACTTGAAAAATCAAGATATACTTCCTATTACCACTTTGTCATACAGAACAGAAGTCTAAAAACTCATTGCAGGAACGCGGTGCAAAGGGGGTGAGGGAGAAGAGCCAGCACAGCCATTAACATACCTGCTCAGATTTAACTTGGAACTCTTTGAGCTCATCCTCAGTGAGGGGAAGGTAGTTCTCTTCATTTTCAGGATACTCCTGCCATCCCATTTCTTTTAATAATCTGGTCCGTTTTTTTGGTTAAAAAAAAAAAAAAAGTCAAAAGGTTAAAAGGAAACAAAAGAAAAAAAAGCAGGACTGGTTTTAATCAGATGTATGAGTGACTAAATGGGGATGGATGCTTCCAGGAGTTAGCCATCTAGATTTAGGGAACATCTATATTTTTTGTTGTTGCTAAGCCTGGTGTATGCATCACACACTTCATACTCAACATGAACATTTACAAATTTCTAATCATCCACAGCCCAGCAAAATGGGTAGACTGCTTTAGCTTTCCTGCTTCCACAATAAGACTGAGCGGGTGGATGATATTTCCTAGGGACACTGAAGGGGGGATGCGTGGCAGCTGAAAACATTAGACCTGAGCATTTCCCAAACCCTGTTACCCTGGCTCAAATCACTAGATCACACTGCTATTGGTTACTCAAAGAAAATCTACACTTTGACGCAATGTACAATTTCCCCCCCATTCTTCATGTTTTTAAAACATGAGGAACCTATCCAATAGGGACACTATGCGAAGAGAAGAGAAGACAAAGTCCTAAGCTGCAGGAAGCGCCAGCAGCTGGGGGGGTGCTGCTTTCCTTCCCAGCTCAGCAGCAGGTTGTTCCTCACCACCGCTGCTAGCCTGGGCCCTGTACCGGCTCCAGGCTCGCCCATCGGGCTGATGTGGGCACAAACTGCTGCTGGGGCGGAGGAAAGCACCCCCCCCTCCTCACCGCTCCTGGGCAGTGTTTGCTACTGGAGTCTGGGCTGCAGCTCCTCCACCGCCGGCTCCGTGGTGCCCAGTGTGGCAGCAGTGGCTGTGTGGGACAGCTGCACTGGGTAGCAAACAAGCAGTGGTGAAGGAGCTGCATCAGAGCCTAGTGCAGCATGGGCTCCAGGCAGGCAGCCACAGCAGAAACTGCCCAGTGGCGGGGGAGGGAGAGAAATTTTCTCCACTCCAGCAGCAGTTTGTCCCCCACTGCCACTGCTCAGCCCAGATGGGCGAGCGCAGGGTTGGGGCGGCTCGCAGTTGTCCCTGCCTGTACCATGGGGCTGGGAGTGAGCGGGCATGCAGCAGCCAATGGCAGCCGGATGGAGCGTGAGGCCTGCGCTCTTTGCACTCCATGGCTCCCATAGCCACATGCACACACATACCCCTCCACCTACAAACCCCCATACCCACCCAACCACAGCTCCCCACAAACCCCACACCCCCGCCCAACACCCCTGCACACCCCACACGATATACAAGTCAGACTACATTTTGAGCTTTATGCAATCACTTCTATATATACAGCACAAACGCACACAAATCAGGACTTTTTTTAAATTAAATTAAAAGATATTATTATGAGTGTTTGATTTTTAGTATACAATGTTTTTTCCATAAGATGGCAAACCCTCTTCCCCAAAGGAGTACTTCCAGGTGCAAGGGGAGGGACGTCCAGTGGCAAAGGTCAGAGGTTAAGGGGGCAGGACTTCAAGTCCCAAGATATTGACCAGAGGGTGGGGCACTGGCAAGGGGCGGAGCTACCCATGCAGCCTCGACAGCTTGCCAAAATTGGGTAAGCAGCCCTCTGCTCAAAATAATTGCCCGCCTCTGCCCTAATCCTTGCCACCCACATTTGGAAACCACCCATAAGTCAGATGGAATAGGGCCAGGGGCTCTGTCTGGTTCGTCAGCTCTGGGAAAGAGCCAAAAAGCCAGGCACCCTTAGGTGGTTTACGGAAGCTGAGCTAGAAGAGTGCCAGGTGAATAACAGAATTTGGATGAAATCCTGGCACCAGAATCCAACAGGGCTAATATTTCATGCCTGTATCTTGCTTTCTACTATTGTCTTCTCTCAGTCCCTTAACTGTTCTATAGCTCACACACCTTCAGCACAGCACAAGCCACACTTGTTCTCTGGAGAGAAATCTCCTTTCCTTTAGCTTAAAGCAGCAAATTACTTCTCTTCCACCCCAGAGACCCTCTTCTGTTGTCTTCTCACCTGTGTTCTGCTTCCAGTGAATGAGAGAGATTCTCTCCCTCCTCCATCAAAGGGAGAGAAAGGCCGTTCTGGTGGCAATTCTCTTCCCAATTTTCCTTTGGTTCTGGTGTGCTGTTGCCCTCCACCTAAAGAAAAACAGGAGCTGCACCATATCAATGAGACACCAGCCCTTCAATACATGCAGCCCAAATCAAAGTCTCAAATACTCATCTCCAGCCAGTGCTTCAAAACTGAGTCTAGGTTACCATGAAAAAGTAGATGCTGTCTGACATGGACTTGAATTTAGTGCCTTTTGGTTCCATTTCAAGTGGACCAAAGTCCACAATGCAAGCTGCTGCTGCTGGCTGCAGAGGCCAAGGAGCTGATACTACCAAGTGAACTCCACCCGTCTATCACAAGAAGTACCCATCTGCATCAGGACTCACCCAGTGGTGCACAGAGGAAGTCTACTCTGCTACTGCTTGTTCTGTGGCTCTTGGGGACCATTTCAGGTCTCAAAAGCATCATTCCTGCACCTTTCTCCAGTGCTACAAATCAGTTTCCCTTTTGGACCAAGGCGTATTTTCTAAAGGGACAGTTTATTCACAGAAGCATAAAGGAGAACAGCACTGTTGTAAAACGCTGTCCCAAAACTACTATTTAAGTGCAGACTGGCAAGGAGATTTGGAAAGTGGTTGAACATTCTTTTAAATATTGATAGTGTTCATCAGAAAAATTCCTTAGAACCTCATAATTCTAAACACCACCCCTTTCCTTTGCCAAATATTTGACATTTTCTTTTCTCATGCACTCTTCTTTGCTGTGCACTGTATACCATCTTTACTCACAAGGAAGTACAACTATAGGGACAGTGCCCATTCGCAACTGCAGATCTAGCAGAGGCAACATAAGAACTGTTTCTCTCAATTACTTTCCCTACCACCATTTTAGAGAAATGATGAATAATTCCCTCCCCCCCAATAAAAATGTTAAGACAAAAGTTTAAAGTGTGGGTAACACAAAAATACAGAAGAGGTGTGGGGCAGGCACACATCAACATGCAGCATGTTGAGCCCTCCTGCATTTCTATTCGGTATTCTCTCCCTCTAGTGACTGCAGCCCAGGAAGCAGGAGTTAAACTATTACTGACAATTCTCTTTAAGCAAGCGATTAGCTGGCAGTGATGCAGTCATCTCTATTTGTGAAGCAAGAGCTTGGAATTACGTTCCCTCCTGCTTGAAGTAAAGGTATGACTATCGTTTCTGTGCAGAGATCCCTATGACATGCAATGCCCAGGAAAGTAGAGGGGGCAGTTTTCTTACATCATCCAATTTGTCACATTCTCTGTTCTCTGTGATCTCCCCATTCCTGTCATCTTTCAGTGTCTTCAGGAACTCGCTCTTCTTATCAGTGGGACGGCGCATCAGCTTTGTCAAGCGTGAAGAACTGATCTCAATGGGAGGGGTGGTGCTGGAAGGACTCTGGACAGGGAAGGTGGAACACACATTAGAAACATTTTTAATCCATTCCTGAAAAGCTGGCTCTGCTCACAGTTTGGGTTTGTTTGCAACTTTTAATACCGTGACCAAGAGCTCCTGATCTCGCTGAATTGCCTGCAAGAGATCTCCTTTCAGTTCTCCTCCAGAGTGCTTGGCTGCACTGTTCCAAATTTATTCCTTCTTCTCTCACCAGCCTGGAAGGCAAGTCTCCCAACAAGCCTTTTTATCAGTTTCTGCCACTGTTTTTTCTCCTCTTAACTCATGCTGTCATGGAGCTATCACACTTGTCTTGCTCCTCACTTAATACACCGCTTGATGATGTGAGCTATCCATCCTGGCATCACTTGAGGTTAATTCAGCACCCCCATTAAGAGTGATGCAGGACTGCACTGATGACTCTTGCCCATTTGCAGATGAGTCCACAGCCTCACAAGTTTCTGGGGAACAGACTCCTCCTCCTGCCTCCCACTTCTCCCTTCATACCCACTGACCTAAACAGCTCTCCATACCTCATAAAAGCCTACCCAATTAAAATAATGAAACCAAAGTGGTGCCATTATCCTCTGCAGCATGTATAACAATGCTGGTTGAGCCAGCCAGATGGCAGAGCAGCTGGCATATTAGCCTTCTTGTACAGTGTTACAGAGGTTTTAAACTGAGGACTGGGACCCGTTTCTTCTTTATAGTTGAGATGTACAATTAAAATTAAATTGGAGGATATGTACCAAGTTCCCAGCTTCCTAATTTTCCCCACCGCTCCCAGTCTTCATCTACGATATTCAAGTCTGGCTATACTCCAGAACAATGAGAAATCCTGTTTTTTTTGAGTCTTGACTCTCCACTGAAGGAAATGTCAAAAGAGTACCTTAGAATCTCATGCACAAATCAATCCCTTTCTTTCCCCTACGTGCTTTGACCTATCCCCCTCTTCTTACAATATACAAGGACAAGAATTACATAAAGTAGCTTCTTGTTGCAGGATTTGGAGGGGCTTTGCAGGACCATTTCAGATTTTTCTTGTGGGGGTGAGAAGGTTGTCAACAGATAATATGCTTAATATGTCAAATTTACTTTGCAACACATTTTCAGTACAGTGGATGCAGCCCTTCTAAGCAGAGACAAAGACAAAGGGGAAAAAACGTTCGACAAAACAAAAAGGTAAGAAGAGGCACAGTGCCGGTTTTGGTTCCTAATTCCCACTGTATATGAACGCTAGGATGAAATCAATCTCTTCTGGAGAAGTGTGTACTATAAATGGTAATAAAATTGTGTAGTGACATGTGTCAGGCAGTCATTTCAAAACCTGTCTAATTCAGTAGCAGGAGAAGCAAACAGTTGATTGTAAAACCCCCATTTCTGACAGGTGTGTGAATGTCAGGATAAAATAAAAACTGAAGCGCCATTGAGTTTGAAGCTCTCAGCATTAAATTAATTTACCTGTGTAAGTGACAGAAGGTGACTGAACAGAAACACAGATAATATGAAAATATGACATTTCTAGTAGATTAGAAAGCACGTATAATGTAAGTCCATAAAATATCTCGTGCTCTTGTCTACAGCAGCCTTTTCAAAGACACCGGTTCAGAAATGCTAACATATCAAAACTCTATTTTACAAACTTTAAGGGGTGAGGAGAAAGGCAACCATAAAAAGGCACTGACTGAAAAACAGACAAACCTTTGAAACTAATGTGGCTACCTTATCTGAGAAAGGAGGAAGCTCACAGGCTTAAGTTTGTATATTCAAAATTCTTTACAGAAGGATTTTGAAATGACGTCATCTTTCTTTTACCGAGGGCTCCAGTGTCTAGAAACGTGGAGACTACACATACAAAAGCTATGCGTGTCATAATACAGAATGAGCTTCAACAATGACCGCTCACTTAAAACTGAGCTGCTAAGATTGCAGAATGTGCTCTTAGGGGAAACACTGGAAAACCTATGCCTCAGGATTTTAAAAGCTGATTAGGTAAAGCACCTAAAGCATCCTCATAAGGAGTAATCGTCCCCCCAGTATTCAGAGAAAGGTGTTGGTGACCTAGTAGCCATCTCCCCTAATATCCAGTATGAAATGGTGATGTGTCATATGGTACCTTTCGTTTTCAAAACATTTTACAGATGTTTAACTTGGGTCTTCAGCACCTTCATAAGGTGGCCATTAGCCCTCTCTTTCCAGAAGCAGGCACTGATTTTACTAGGTCAGTGCCAGGATGGACTGGAATTAGATTACTGGGCTGCAATCCTGAGTTTACACCATGTCTTTACATAGTGGGAGGTAAAGCTGAGTAGCTGCAACTCTGCACTGCTTAATTCTAGCCTGGACAAAAATCACTCTCTGTTTCCAGTTTAACTGATTACAGATACTGGCGCGATAGTGATGATGCAGCTGGAGTGCCTTTCAACTTATTTGTTTTCTCCTGCAAAACCGTTAACAAGCAGACAGTGCTGGAAAAAGTTTAACATAATGAGGAACTTTCAGAGATTTTCTAAAAAGGATTTCTTGTCTCTGAAAAAAAAAACAAACAGATTTTCTGCCCCAACTGCTGCCTGGTAGGTACCTTTGTGTCCTTACTACCCAGAAATTCAGACAAAAGCTACCCAAGACAGAGTACAGTGTACTACCTGCATCAGAAAACAAGCACATGCCTATCTGAATTTGTTTTATGCTTCTTATCTGGTGATGAAAGTTTATTTCATGTATATAACTGGTGTTGTAGTAGCACCCAAACTATCTCATATGGATACAAGAAAAAAAGTCCCCAACCCCCAAAAGGGCTTACACAATTTAAAGCAAGTCTTTTAGCAAAGAAAACAAAAGGGACAGAACACAAAATCAAAGTCAAGATGACTGGCACGTTCATTAGTGTTGCCTTCTGTAAGAAGCTTCTTTCCAGCTTCTCCCCTGAATCTGCTTCCTTCAGCAAAATTGAAGTCCTAGTCCTACTTAATATACTATCTGCAGTAGATTATTATCACGGCTCCCAGAGAGGAATTACTTTCATTTGAAAAGATTCTCTTTGTTCTGTAAGAAATAGTTACAGACTAAAAGGACAGCATGCGCACCAGACAGGCTCTCTTACTTTTGTTACTGCTCAGTAGATACCCAGGCATTTCTCTCAAGTTGGGGAATGACATCAAACTGCTTGTTATTAAAATTACAAGGATCACTGTCAACAGAATTTAACTTCTTCCCTCATCTCTTATTACTACTTCCCTCTGATTCATTATACTGAACAGTTAAAAGGACAGAAGTCTTGGCCAAGTAATAACTTGTTATTCTGAGGTGCTTTTAAGGATGGCGATGGTCAGAGAAAGGGAGGTTAACCCACTGAAGACGAATGTCAAGTACACAACCCCAAAACTGCTACACAATCATTAGTGTTTTATTTTAAGAATAAAAATTAAAATCTAGCAGATTATTTATTTGTACTTTACTCAGTTTGGACATTAAAATGCAACTAATTGTTTCACTTCTTGGTTTTTAAAACTAACAAAAAGCTAATGTGTTCTGCCTCCCAATAATAAAGGGGAAGTTTTCACTAAATTCACTGATTCACTTTAATTCTGTGCAAGCCCAATTACCACACACTGTTATTAACATATGAAGTATGCACACCTTGTATGACAGGTTCAATTCCAGTAAATCTGGGCAAACGCTTGCTGCAGCACTTCTTACATCAAGTAGCCCATTGTCCATGAGCATTTCCACTGACGAACAGGGAATTTAGCACAACGTGCAAAGAACCTATGACACCTGAGCACTCTTCCACCGTTCCCAGCTGGGTACAGACAACAATGCCTCTAAAAGGAAACATTAGCTGAAGAAATTCCCAACCCGACTTCTTACCTCTTTGGGTGAGGTGAGGACTGAGCCACTTGCCAATACCGCTGGTTTGGTTATGGACACCGGACTGGTAAAGGCAGAGTCACGGCTGGACGAGAGCGAGCCCGGTTTATGTTCACTTCGGTTAGATTTCCATGGACTTGGCTATATGGAAGAGAACACAACAGACTAAAAAGTAAGTGGTACAGCACAAGAGTGGGATGCTTACAAATGATACAACAAGTCAAAGCAACATTCAATTGGACTAACGAGTTGTCAGACAAACTGAACAGATTCTCTCCTCCCACTCCAAAAAGGTCTCTCAACTTCCTCATGTTTGACCTTGAGGATCCCCCTTTCTTGTCTCTCAGCACCCAACACAGCCCATAGCGATACCTTGAGTTACAGCTACCTTCTGAATGAGAAATGACTGGAACTGTACTAGGAACCAACTAAATGCGTCTGAAAACTGCTCCCAACCCAGAGGCAAGATCATAATTAAATTAACCTAAATTTCCTACAGAGCAGTGCTGCACACCACCACCAAACTGACTGCATTATTCAACAGAAACTTCCCCTGGCTGAGAAGAAGAAAATCCAAAGGATTTGTAGGCTAGGAATAAAAGGAAGGACATGGGGAAATGAAACAGTCCAGTTATGCCTTGCTTGTTCAGTGAGACACAGAAGACAACAGATATAATAAAAATCTAGAAAGCCTCAAGATTTAGACTGGGAATCCAATTTACTGCGGGACAGAAGCACATACACCAACACATTTTCTAAGTCAATCCTCATGCAACTACGCAGGGGAAAATTTCACTCTGATCCTGCTTGGTGGCAAAGCCATGACTACGGTTACAGAAAGCTGCCTTGGAAAACGTATCTGCTGCATGGAAAATTATTTTCTTGAATGTCTCTCAGCCAAGAACAAACTATGCAACAGGGATCTCAAAACAGAAAGCATGGCACCAAGTATCACATGAGAAAGACGCACAATGGAGTAGGCTCTTGCTTCTACCACCTTCATTTTAATGACTCTTAATGTTCTGAATTAATGCAGTACTAAATAAGTAGAATACTGTATTTTCCTGCATAACATGCTCCCCGCAAATACATGCACCTTGTTTGTGGAAGGCAGGATGTAGAAAAAAAACTCTTCCAGTGTCATGGCTGACTGCATGTTGCAGTTCACTTGCCTTCAGCCAGTTCAATGTCGGCTTCAGGCACAAGCTATAGTGTTAACTTCCCTCAGCCACGAAGAAACCAGCAGCTTTTGGCTGCTCAGTCAAAAGCTGCAGCCAATTCCTTGCTGGCTGCAAGAGGGTTACACTGGACTCTACCCCTGCTGTTTGCTGGCAGTGAGAGAAGTAGTAGGCATTAGAATACAGCATCTATTATAGACCTGTTCCCGCCTAGAAAAAGCAGTTCCCCTGCTGAAGTCACGCACCCCAAATTTGGAGGGCTGATTCTTTGAAAAACGGTGCATTTAGTATGGAAGTAAATAGTGTACTGCTAGAGGCATAAAGGATGAAGCTAAATCTGGGCCTAAAATGGATTTTGTACTTGCAGAGGAGGACAGCAGAGGCCACTGTTTCTATGGCTTAAGTACATGCAGCTCAATTATGGCACCAAGAAGCATCATAAGGTGACCCACAGTGTTCCCTCCTAGACGGGAGGTCATGTAGCTGAGACAGAGCACAACGATGCTTACAGGAAGTTGCACTAATGCACCAAACTACTTCTGGATGGAGCAAGCCCAAAGGAAATGTGCTATCTGAGTCTGGTACTGCTTAGGCCCCTACCTGAATGGTATACACACATTCAGTGCGATTTCTTTTCTTTGGGCATTTATCTTTTTTTTTTTTTAGTTAGGTCTCACCAGCTTTTCTCCTTCCTCCCACCTATACTCACGTGGGCTCAGCAAAGAAGTTTGTTTCGGCTTCGGCCAAATTCCACTGCCTTATGCTTTTTCTTGCCAAAAGGGAAAAAAAAACTGGAAACAGCCCTTGTTATGCTAAAAACATTCCATCCCATTTCATTCAAAATGACACCAGTCATTTTCAGAAACTTGTAAGAAATACAAAAGGAAACAAAGGGCCAGATGCACAGAACAGGTAATGGCTGAAGTATCAACATCATCCTCTTAGCTAACAGGCCGTTTGTTAGGTCACTCATCCAGGATGCAGAGAATCTAGTTCAAGTCCCTCCTCTGCCTTAGGAGATTGGAACCCACTGTCCTAACTAGAGTATACCTTAGCTACCGTGTAGTTAGGGCGTTTTGGAGTGTGGTGCTCACTCTCTCCAGTTGCAGCTGTTCTACTTCATGCAAAGCAGGCTGGTGCCTAAGCCTTTAACCCGTTCTGAGCCTCTGACCACAGCTAATTTAAATGACAGACAAAGAAAGAGTAGGATAGAAAAGCAAGACGTCTTCAAAGGTGCATTTGCAGAGAGTTAGTGGGGGCCGGGGGGAGCAGGGCTGAACTGATCTGGGGTCCAGAAATGTTTTTTCCCCCTTACATCAACCTGATCCTCTGTTTTAGACTCCCCTCCTACCTTAGTCTGACACCTCTTTCTACAAGTCAGGAAACTGGTGCAGATTATAAGCTTCTCTGGGGTAGAAACGATGTTTTCATTTCCTGTCTAACATATAAAATATGTGCAGTCCATTTATTTAACTTGTAATCACTGAAGAAGTCTTAGAAAATGGCATCCCTTAAGAGCCAAATTTAGCTTAAGAACTAAAGGCAACGTTCTTTGGTTATCTGATCCTTGACCGGGGCTTTTTTGCACTGTCAACACACACAGATCAAATTCCAAATACTTGAGGAACAAGGCATGCTGTGCAGTATTGGCCCATTAATTCTTTCTCTGTATACCATGCAAGAGAAATAAAGTAAGGCACAACGTCAGCTATGCTAGCATGCACTGCGGCCATTATAAGACAGAACCAGAGAGCAGAAGTGAAAAATCGTATCATGTTGTAATCGGTATTTTGGCACAAAGGTTTAGTTGTCCACCTTCTGCACCAAAATTGCAATGCCACCTTAGTACTCAAATCAAAGGCTTCATGTTACTACATGCGCTACTAGTTCTGTACTTGAGGATCCATCCAATTGATCCACAAACTATCTTAGCAGGGTTAAAACACACCGCATAGTGGAAACTCTGGGATTCTCAGAGAAGCCCAAGTGACTTATTAGGTTATTCATTTCCAAGGGATATGGGCACTTAACTCCTCTAAGACCCTGTGAAAATCCAAGTACAAAATACCATTTTCAAGGCACAATGAAAACAAGCTGAGTATTAGAAAAAGCTTCCAGACAAGCTGTTAGACTGACATAGTCTTTTCCAGGAGGGAAGTCCCAGCCAAAACAAAATGTTCTAGACACTACTCTGCATGGAACAATTATATATTCCATGAAGAGGAGAATAGGTAACCAAATAAGCTTTCCATCTCCAGGATCTCAGATTCCCTGCAATAATGCTCTGCTGGGGGATGTGCAATAAGCAAACAGGTGAAATACAACCTAGCGATTAAAAAGACTGGATTTTTGGCCTTCCACTTCAACAACTGCTTGATACCCTCATTTATCATGACAGGCACCCAGGTAGGTTACACAAGCTGTAAAACTGAATATAAAAACAGCAAATGGAAAGCTCAGAAAATATCAATCAGAAATCTACAGAATCATTTTGAATTTTTTCAGTGTTTGCAGGAAAGAGGGGTGGATGAACTTTAAAGGCAACCTGTAAAGTGGGAAAGAACTGTGCATGTGTCACTTGTTTCTTTACAAAAATCCAAAAGGGGCTTTTCAGGTTTTTCTTTATTATAGGATAAAACACTAAAGCCGGCTCTCATTCAGAATCACTGGATGTTTCTTTGAGGACATACACAACTAGGACAGCCCTTGTTAATCACAGCTACTGAACAGTTGGGAAGACAAGATTTTAGATTATCATACACTTGAGTTAGAGGTATTCCTCACAATCACAAAAAGAAAATGCCAAAATAAAACAAAGAATGATGAATAAAAATAAAATGGGCAAAATCCCAAATGTCTTTTGTAGGGCACCTGTAAAGCTTGTTCAGATTAAAACTGCACTGAAAGATTATGTTACATGATTTAGTCTAGCCTTTTGAGATGGGTCCAAATTATTTTAACCATATTGATGAATCATGTTATAATCTTGTAAGGTAGTCATGTGAACAGCCTAATCACTGTTATTAGTTCATTTGCCTTCTGGCACCCTTTGTCTGTCTTGTCTAATTTAGGTGAGAGGTTTTAGCTGAAGTTCTGGCCCCCCCTAAATCCAACAGACGTTAACATGGTTTCATCCTGTCTAAGGAGAAAACCAAAATGTATTGTTACAGGTGAGCATTAAGTTACAATGCAATACACTGATAGTTTCAGCAAGAGACAGGTCTTAACCCTAAAGCTCCTAAGCAAATGCATTAGCTCTGACTTGCTATTTACATTTCTTTCTTCCTTTGTTTGTTGGCTATTTCCACAAAATGCTCACTCCACATGCAGTCTGCTAACCCAACAGAAAGCTCCTGTACCTTGGAAGGAGGAGCTGCAGGTTTAGGAACTAGATTTTTGTAGACACTTGGGACAATGGTGGTAGTCTTGTTGCCATTTGCCAGATGTGGAACAGGTGATGTAAATGCAGCTGAGAAGGCGGCAGCAGGATCCTCTTTAGAAACCTTTTTGATGACCAGCATCTTGGTAGGTTGCTTGGCACTAGGAGGGTTTTCTATAAAAGCACAAGGGGGAAAAAAACCTCAGAAAAAAAGAAAGAAACCTCAGGAATTTCATAATACTTTGTTCTCTCTCCACTTCAATTCCCCCTTTCAGAATCAAAGATGCTATGAGAGTGCTCTGCTGGTGCTGCTATTGACAAGTCTGGTGCTGGTTTTCAAGCAAAGAGATTACTGTATTGGAGAAAGACAGAAAAGTCTGGTATTTTCTCCACTTGAATCAACCCATGGGAGCCCCTCGATTTAGCAAAAAAAGATAATGCTTGAGATAATAACAATTAAGAGCCTCCTAGACTCAGGGAGGGTATGGACATACATACTAATATTTGTTCTGCACAATTAGAGCAGTGAATCTCAACCAGGGTGCTACAAGATCCTTTTATGGGTGCCACAGGATGCTGTGCAATTTTAAAGCTGTTGGGTTTCAAAACACCTACACATGATTCACAAGAGGAACTCAGAGGTTTGAAATAAGAATCCATGTCAAAACATTCTCACTCGTTGAGGTATTTCTGAGTTCACTGCAAGAAAAGAATTGCTCTATTATTTTTGAGTGAAAACTAAGAGCTAGCATTTTCCAAGGGATACCTTGAATCTAACAAGATTGAGACCAGGTGAACCGGAGAAGCATTTTATGTTAATTCACTAACACAGCAAGAGAAATAAGAGAAGAAAAATCATACTTTATTGTCTAATCATTTGCCACCTGACACAGTCTACACAAGTTCTCAATACCAGTAAATTGTGAAAAACTACAGCAAGGTAAACAGTTAAATATTCAACGTTTTTTTCAGTAGCAGCTGATCTTGCTATTATACTGAGGAAAGATGATGAATATCTGAATCAAATTTGCAAAAAAGAACAGAACTTGGATCTTGAATCTATTCTTCTGCTCTACCAGAGAGCATCTGTTTTCTATATAGTAATATAAACGCCTCACTTACCCCACACTCCAGAAGGTGTCCCTAAAGGTTTGCTCTGGTTATTCTGTTTCCCGGCTTCTGGATTCAAAGATGGCTGTAAAAAAAAATCCACAGTTGGAAACATTAAAAGACTGCATATCAAAGACACATGTATTGTGTTGGAAATACACTGAAGTCAACAAACCAGAGGTCCTGCTTTAAAGTATTTTTACTAAACATTTAAGATATTACCCAGAATTAAATAAATATTTATCTGTGGCTCCAGGCACTGCAGGGGTGTATTGTTAGTGCACGCACTGCTTCGAGTCCAATTACTCATAACAGTTGCACTCAGTGCCCCACATATTTTACATACAACAGACATCTATAACTCCACCGATATGATAACAATATCAAGAACGTATAACCTTGAATTTGATGGAGAAAATGAATATAAGCATTTATGTAGACAAGAAAAGAAAGCTGCCTTTAAGTGTTGTTCAAATTCTGACAGCATTTCAAGAGTTCATATTTTAGGCAGATATTACCACAGTAGGGCATGTTTGTTCTAACCTGACTTTTGATTTTGGTTCACAGTCTAACTTACTATAATGATTATGGATTTGTCCAAGTTAGGCGAGAAAAACAAATCTGAACCCCCCAACACTCCCCCCCTCAAAAAAAAAGTACCCACTGATAAAAGACCCCTGGCTAATTTAGCTACTACCATGTCTTGCTATTTTTTGAAACAGATGACTGAACATTCAAAACCAAATGAATTTTCTCCTCATTCTGATGCAATTTTATGCATTAGCCACTATGATTATTATAAGTGAAGCTTCTACCCATTAGCTTCTGACAAAGCTAACATTCCTACTTTAAAAGCCGGGGGAAAATTATATTGGATCTTACCATAAGTAACAACCTTAGTTTAAAAAAAAAATTCCCCAGCACTCACAAAGTACCCCAGAAGTGACCTTTAAACTAAAACCTTGTGGGAGATTATCATGGCACTTTTACCAGATTAAGGTGCCAAAATCCATATTTGCCATAGATACAAGCATACCTATGTGTGATACATCCTTATTGTCACCTTCTGGGGTTTGACTGATGGGGGAGGCTTGTGTATCACAATACTGTCTTCAGTATACATCAATATGATAAAAATATGATGACAATGTCCAACCCACAATTCAATGTCAAGAACTCCTTAGGAATTTGGGAAAACATTTAAAAGCCCCTAAGCACTGCCTTCAGGATCATTCCAATAAAAACTAGAATGATCCCAGAAAGCATGGAACAGAATGAAACGGCAGACCCATGTCACCTATAGACAGTACCAAAATGAGACCTGGAAAGCCATTTCTCATGGGTGACACCTTTAATGAGGAGCCACAACTTACAAAGTCTTCTTCTTCAAACTGCAACTTCTCCTTCTCTTCCTTCTTCTCTTCCCTGGCTTCAGCAGGCAGCTTCTCTTGAAAGGCAGAACTTTTCCGGGAGTGGAAGTTGCCATTCCAGTGGCGATGGGCTCCACTTCCTCCTCCACCACGCTGGTTCATACCATCATGACCCCGTGAAGGGCCATGCCAGCCAGGCTGACTGCCGGATAGCCCAACATGAGCTCCTTTAGAAACCCCAGAATCTACAGAGTCATGGCGGAGCAGGGAGGGCTGATGCCAGCAATCTAAATGAAGGGATTAAAGAGATCAATGCTGCCAGCAAAAATCCAAAAAGCATGAAGAACAGCCTCCGCCCCCCACCTCCTGTGGGGCTGGGTGAAGCTCCCTTTCCCCCCCTGGCGTCAGGCCAGGCTGCCCCTGCCCCACTCTACGTGGCAGGAAGGCGGCCCCCGTGCTGTGCTGTACCACATCCGTGCCAGGCCCATGATTAGTCCAGGCACTGTTCATCCAGCCTGCCTGGAAAAAATGCTGGGCACCACTATTACAGAGCACACGGATCCCTTACCTCCCGCAGTTCTGAGAGGCCCATTATTGAAAAATCCATCAGAAGAGTTGTGTCGTCTGCGGCTCACTCCAAAGCGGCTCTCTCCCCGGGGAAGATGCTCTCCATGTTTCTCAAAGGTGGCTGCAGGGGACTATAGAAAGTTAAAAAGAGAGGATTAAATGAATAAGTACTCTCTAGGACACTCTAGGAATCTGTTACCAGCAAAACAACTTTGCTAATGTAAAGAGACATCTCTGCATTAGTTTCTAGTAATTAGAACAACAGGTGCCAAGATGACGAATGTAAGAATATTCATGAGTGCCACAAACTTGCACATGGCTGTACATTATTACCTCACCAAAAAAAAAAAAAAAAAAAAAGGGGGGCTCTTATAGCAGCTTTCCTTGCACAACTTTTTCAAAACACATGCAATGCTTTCATCAGAGTCCATTTAAGGAATTTTACAACAATGCACTGCATGTTACTAATCCCACAGAAGTGCTCAATCTCTAAAAACCACCAATGTCGATGGAGGAACAAAACGAGTTGTGCAAGGCCCACTCAGAAACTGCCTAGAAATTAAAGATACTTCAAATGAGATGGTAAAGGGATCCTGGGTTCAGATAGCACTGAGGCTACAGACGTTACAAGCTTTCAGCATGAATCATCTGTTCCAAATTCCAAAGCATTTCCCTACCGTTCCCTACTCTAAGAGATTAAAGAGCCACATCAGTATACTGCACATTTGGAAGTTATTTTTGCCCACTTTAGTTGAAATGTGAAGCTGAAAGCAGTTTCATTCCTGATTCCTTTGCTCTTTAGCAACCTCATTCACTATTGCAAAGATGCTCTGCACAGCTACTCTCATGCACAAACAATGCAAGAGCCCACTTGAGGTCCCAAACAGATTCAGATCTTTACGGGTGAGCGTGATTTTCCCTTCAGATCCTGTTAGCAGCAAGCAAGACATCACAACCCAACCCCTTCCTGGTGAGATTCCACATGAAAAAACACCCTAACAAAAGGTACAGGATTCTAAGATGGAAATGAATGCCCCATTACTGGTGAGCTGCTTAACAATGCCACATTTTGAAAAGTCCAAAACAGGAAACACTAAAAATTACACTCATACGTGTACACTGCAAGCCAAGTTTTGAGGTACATCTTTATATAAATTCCCCATGTCTACCAAACCTGGGCAGATAAAATTAACACAATAATTGTGCAAGGAAGTAAAAAAAGAAAAAAAAAGAA